TATATCAAAACCGGGTAAGACACCTCGTACTTCAAAACACGCGGAGCCATCGGCATCAAACATTGTTCAGCCGGAAATTCGACTGAGTCTAGAACCTTTACCACTGTCTACCCCACTTGGTGAGCCCACCATCCCCACTAGCATATCACAGGGCGCTGGACCCGACTCCCTTGATCTGGCTGCCTTCATGAAACTCCAGGAGGACCACAAACACTCCATGGAAAAACGGAAATTGGAGCGTAGGCAGCTACTGCAGCGTGCCAATATGCAAGCTTTAAGGGAAGGAAAAGGTGAGGTTCCCGTAGTTAGCTTTAGGGCACAAATGAATTAACTTTTGATACCAATTGCGTGAACCCGCCAAATGCCATGCTCCCCATCAGCATGGTTGATTTTTTTACCCCGTATTCAGATAGATGGAAAGTAGCGAAGGTACATGATGTACAACCGATTGGAGGGAAGTGTTGGGAGGAAGGGGATAATTTTAATTTAGCTGTGGAGTCTGAGTCGAAACCCACACCTGAACCATCCTCGTTGGAACATTTTCGATGGGCTGTGGAAAATATTTTTGATTTCATCACGCCATTCGATTTACGCTGTTTGGTGCAAATGCTTGATACTAAGAACCGCGCTGGCGCCTTCCAACCAGTATTTCCAGCTGACAACACCAGCACAACAGCCTCATATTTGCGCTTCTTTGATAAACCACGCTATACCAACCTTCTAATATTTGCCTATTTGGACAAGTATGGAGAGTCGACGGAGGGTGAGTTCCTACTTTATTGTATTGGAATCAAAAATTTTATGAAGCAAATAAAGTAAATTTCCTCTGATCATTTAAAATAATTTCAGAACTAGCTACTTACCAACTTTCGCGCAAATTAGGTGGCATCACAAAAAAACATATGCCTTCCGAGCTTTCATTCTGATAATCGGAATACCTTGCGCCGACGGCATAAAATAGCTAATCTTCTAAGCATTCAAACCAATCACACCTTCACTAGCGCTCTTTTGGGTCTTCAAACGACATGAACGTAGTCACATTTATTATTAGTTATCAACGCACAAGTCTGCTTACATAGCCATTCTGATATCAGTTTTGCGCAACCTAACTCGTTACTCTGCATGACAAATGCGATTGTGACTTGATGCAATGCTATATGTGAATTTCATTAACATCACCTACTAATAGGGAGCAGCGCTAATTGCACTTTATATCCAAGCACCTTTCTATAGGTTAAGATGATCTCGTTAAAACAGTCCACAACCGTCCCTTTCCCTTCATTATAGGCATTACAATGCTCTCTAGACTATGCGAGAGGGAGGTGCATTTGAAGTCGCGTTTCTTCGGAGACAGTTTGGAAGAAAGCAATGTTTGGAAACCGCCACTACCACCACTAATACCCAATACTCAAAAGGGTTACGTAGAAAACCGGATAAAAAGACAAGTCAACTTCAGTTAAGAGGAGGCGGAATTTCAGAAAA